TCCTCACCCCACTCCTCCTCCTCCTGCTCCCCCTCCTACTCCTCCTCATTCTCCTCCTCCTCCTCCTCCTCATTATCCTCCTCCTCCTCCTCCTCCTCCTCCTGCTCCTGCTCCTCCTCATCCTTCGTCTCCTCCTCCTCTTCCGCCCTCCCCATCCTCCTCCTTCTCCTTCTCCTCTCCCGTTCCTTCTCCTCCTCCTCCTCCCTCCTCCTCCTCCTATCTCCTTCTCCTCCCCAAATCTTTACCGCCCAGAGGGTTAGGAGGGGGCGGGGGGGGGGGGCGTGCCTGCTGCGGGGATTGCACCGACGCGGCGCTCGGGGCGGGCCGCTACTACGACGACGACGACGACGACGACGACGACGACGACGACGACGACGATGCCGACGACTACCCCTGAAAGCTCTCCAAGAGGCCTCCGACAGACACCTCATGAGACCTACATGTATAACCATGTGCGTATGTTTGTATATAAATGTATGCACGTGCGGATGGATGCCTGCCTGCATGCATGCATAGCTGCACACACATGCATGCACACATCGATCCATACATACAACCATACATGACTACATATACATACACACACGCATGCATGCATGCATGCAAACATCTATGGAGCCATGTGTATGCACATACGCTCATGCACGCGTACCTGCATCCATGCATATGTGCATGCATGCATGCATGCATGCATGCATGCATGCATTCATGTCTACATGCATGCATGCATACATATATACGCGTGCATGTATGCACATATGCATACGCACACATCCATACACACACGCATACACACATGCATACCTGCATATATACACACATACACATACATACATGCATGCATGCATGCATGCATACATGCGCACACATGCATACACACACGCATCCATACATACAGACACACATCCAATACAGCCATGCAGACGTACGCACGCACGTACATACACATACACATTCACACAGACATGCATGTACACATTCAAATGCACACATGCATGCATGACCACATCTACATACATATACACATACCTGTACGCATGCATACGAACACCCATAAATACGCATCTCCATACATACATACAGTTGCACATGTATGCAACAATACATACATACATATACACATACAAACAGGCAGATATACCTACATACAGTCAGACATACGTACACACATACATGTGCATCGACACATACATATACATATACCTATGGACATGCATTCATGCATGCATACATGCATACATACATACGTGCATGCAAGAGGCTTGTGGCACATGATCCAGGTACGGTGGCCATCTGGGCCTAAGGCCATAGGATAGATGTGGAACGGTGCCTTCTCTCTTCTCCAATTTTGAGGTGCTCTTCAAGCCGTTCTGAGATAATCTTCAGTCTGCCTTCGTGCGCTCCTCAACTCCCTCGCGGTCTCCTGATATCCTTCAGGGTCGGCGGAACAAGCCGTAAGGCCTCTCCGCTCGCAGCGGCTGGTGTGTGCGTGTGTGCTTGCGTGCGTGCGTGCATGCGTGCGTGTGTGTTTGTGTGTGTGCTTGCGTGCGTGCGTGCGTGCGCGCGCGTGTGTGTGTGTATGTGTGTGAGTATGTTTGTGTCGGGCTAATGGTTGCTCGTTACTGTCGCTTCTTGCGGATCAACAGGTGGCCCCCCCAGGAGTATCCAACCAAACACGCATTCGTTATTTTCAGCCACATCCCTACGCGTTTGGCCTATGTGTCAGACAGTGGCTCTAAAAACGAAGGTCAAGGTAGGCACGCCCCTTGGGCACCCCCACCCTGGGGCGTCCGCCCGGCTGCCACGACCCCCTCCCCCTCCCCCACGGCGGCCCCGAGAATCCAGAATGAAACAAGATTACCCCAGATGGATTCCAAAACTGCCAACATGGCCTCCAAGTCTGGCAAGATGGCCCTCTACGGCCTCCACGACAGCCCAACATAGCCTCAAAGGCGGCCGCGATGGCCCTCAGGTGGCCCCAGGAGAGCGCCCAGAAGGCCCAAGGCAGTCCCAAGAGGCCTTCTGGCACGCCTCCGAAAAGCTCGAAGTACAAAACGAAAAGAAACTTTCGCACAACGTCCAAGAACGGCCCGAGAGGCCAAGAGGCCCTCACTATTGCCCCAAGCCGGCCTGACCGTGCAGCTTCCCAAGGCACAGTGGCGGCGATGCGTGGCAACGCAACTGTATGGGTGTACAGAGTTGCACATACGCACAAACACACACAATCGTTGCGGACAAGCGGCGAATAAAAACTGCTCGGTTCCTCGGGAAACCAGGGGTCTAAGACTCGCTTCCATCCAGGCGGTGTTCCTTCATGGCGAGAGCAAAGGGAAATTAGGACACACAAATAAATACACACAAATAAAAATATCCCCCATATTTTCCTATATTTTCTAGGTTTCTGTCTTCCCCCCCACTTCCCATATTTTCCATATTTTCTGGGAATCGCCGATTAATTGTGTCTGTGTGTTTTTTCCCCTCCTGAGAGAGGTGCAGCTCGAGTGGGAGCGCGGCCGGCGCGCCCGTCGCGCACCCGGCACAAGCGAGGCAGCTTGAAATCTTCTGCACCGTGCCTGAGCATGGCCTCGCTGCTCATGGCCACTGATTTGGGCCTGAGAGAAGGTTTGCGTCCACATCACACCAGTGAGCATGTACAACCAATTCAGTGGCAACACAATGGGCTTACAATGCGCATGACGCAGGCTTTGGTATTCCTCTGAACCGCAATGGATCTGCCACCCGTACAGCTGGAATGCCATGTGCAAAATGCTTATTTGGGCATTGTTCACATGACAATGGGCCACATGTCTGGCGCATCCGCAAACACGTCGGATTATATGCCGTGGCAGTCATTGCGGGAGATCCGTCATGCACGTACGAATCTTGTCGCAAGGCACATCATTACACCTGCCAGCCCTCGTTACATTCGTTTGCAGATGCATCGCAAAAATACCCTAACATGTCTGACTTGGCTCACCGGTGGCCAAGGCGATACCCACCAAGGTTGAGCATCACAGTGCAAGATACTGCTATAACGCCTGTCGTATCCGGAAACTAATACTGATTCATTGCAAACACACCCTCACTGTGCATGCGCCCCCGCTGCACGAACCGGTCGAGCAGCCCGCTACCCTGCAATTGCGACGCCGCGGGCTCATCCTCTTGTTCTTCGACCTTGGTAGACTGGGAGGGTATCATTCGATCATGTTGCTGGGCTGGCCCTCCCACTCTGCGCAACACACGCTGTTCACGTGATGCGAGTTCTACAATGAAGTACAGTAGGGGCCCTTCCACAAGAAACCTTCCACAAGAAATCCAACCCTGAGACCCCAGGACGTCCATTGATTTTCGGTGTGGGAACGTCTCGTTGTCCATCGCAAAACTGTCGAAACCCAAGAAACCCAGGGCGCCCTGGAGGCAAGCAGGGTGTTTCTTGGCATGCGTTTCCACTGATCAATGAAGCAGGCACGACCGAGGCCGTCCCCGGCAACAGCACAACCAAAATCCGACCGAACCGACCGCCGAACCGAAACTGACCAAAACCAGCAGGCCGCGACGCGGCAACGACACAACAACCGACCGAACCGGACCAAACCGAACCGAACCGACCGAACACAACCGACTGAGAAGCAAATAAGCCGAGCAGCCATCACGCCCCCCGCCCCCCCTGCCGGCCCTCGGCGCTCTCCACCGCATCCCCGCCACGTCCGCCCAGCGACGCGTGCCAGCCAGTGAAGGAAAACGGCGGGGGGGGACCGTGAGGGAGGACAGGAAGAGTACTGGAGCAGGGACCGGCATTCCTATAGGCCTACCACGAGATGCTCCTAGAACCCCAGAACGTTCTGAGAACGAAAGCAACGTTTCTAGAACGGGAAGCCGAGGTGTTAAAGGTCCCCACCCTGCATTCTAACGTCGCAACCCAACGCCTCCGTGTTCCAAAGGCAACGTCTGCGCATTGCACAATGACGGTTTCCCCCTGTGCCGGCTTTTTCGCCCCGAGCCCGGAGTCGTCCTCTGACGGTGCTCTGGCCGAGGAGGGGAAATGGGCCCCCAGAGCTCGAAACCCAGACCCCCGACGTCGTGATCTTTTTCACAGCGTCGAACCCCAAGAGGTCTGGACCCCCTCCCTTGAGACCGGCTTTTCATCCTGAGTCGTTTCTGACAGTCCCGAGGCCCAAGAAGGGCACCCGGAGGCCGAAGATATCGAAAACCTCCCGTCGTGATTTTTTCACAGCGCGAGGGGGTCTGGGAAATTCGAGCAAACCTTCCAGGACTCTTCCCTCCAACACCACCACCACTAAGCCGTGCATCCTGCGGGACGCGTGGGCGGCAGAGCGCGCGATTGGCGACCCTTCAGAAAATCCACAACAGGGGTACCTTCCAGATTACCGTGGGGTACCGTCGAGATTACATAAACATTGACGCACCAAGGATGAAGGAGGACTGGAAGCGACACGGATGTATACACCTTGCGAAATGCTTAAGAAATCATGGGTTAAGAAATTCATAGTCTCAGAACTTGACTAAAAACCCACAATTTCTATTAAAATCTTAGGATTTGCGTTGAAACGTTAAGAATAATCGAGACCCTGGCCGAAACCTTAGGTTTTCTTAAGCATCGCCTAAGGTGTACTTTCTGTTGTCTCAATTGTCTCCCGATCCCCCGCGCTCGGAGCCGCCTTCCCAGGCAGCTCCGGCCGTGGCGCCGAGGGAGGCCTCCAGGAGGTCCGGCAGAGGCCACTACAGAGAGCGTCCTCGAGCCCTCGGTCCCCGAGGCACGGCTCTCAGAAATCTCGAGCCGCGATCCTCGAGATCCTCGAGATCCTCGAGATCCGCGATCCTCGAGACATCCCTCGATCCTCGGGATGAGGTGGACGGAGGGGCTGGGCGCCAGGCGTGCGCCCGCCTTCCCCCGCGGAGGCTCGCGCGCGGCGCCCCCCGGGGGAGGGGCGTCTCGAGGCGCGGGCCAGGACGCCAACATGGCCCTCCAGCCGCGGGTCCTGGCCCCCTTCTGTGGGCATCATCGCTCCTATTCATCTGCCTCCTCCTCCGCGTTCGCCTCCTCGCCCCCTCCTCGCCTCCTCCCATCTCGTCCTCCTGCTCCAGCTGCGACTCGTCCCCTCTGCCCATTCTGATCACTCCCCCTGATTCTCACTGTGTCTCCTCCTCCTCCCCTCGCCATTTCCTTCCTCCCGCTGCTCATCCTCCATCCTCCCAGTCCGTACCACCTCTTCATCCTCCTCCGCCTCCTCCTCATTCCTCTGATTAGTCTCCTCCTCGCCTTCCTCGTGCGTAATTTCTCCTCGTCGTCGTCCTCGTCCCTATCCTTGCCCTTCTCCAGCGCCTCCAGGAGAGGATAGTAGAGGGGAGAGGATGGATGTGGTGTCTCCTCTGTACTCAGGAGCAACATGTACACACACACACACACACACACACACACGTGACACCCTTCGTTTAGTCAGCCTGTAGAATAAAGCGGCAAACCGGCATATTGCTCGATGGAACCAACCCAGTGCTGCGTACGCAGCGTTCAACATATCGACGGTCTGTGCGGCCAGCAACTTCATGCCGGGAGCCTTCTGAAAATCGATGAACTACGCAGCAACTTCAGCGGCCTCGTCGAGCCAGAAACCGAGGACACACACGTACACACACCGCGGTTGCGCAACAGATCGCGAAACGGCTCGGCAAAGAATAGCGAAGGGGGCTGACAATATGAGACGACCGCGGGAAAAAAAGACAGAGGCGTATCTCTTTACTGGCACACTGTTTATGGTTGCCTACTTTAGTTTTAGTGCGATGGGAGGCAACGAGGGAGGGATCTGGGACTCGCGTGCGCCGAGCGTCTCTCAAAACCCGCGGCAACAACGTGCCCGACTGGTCGGCCGGCCTCGCCGCAGGGCCCCGTGCACAGCAAGCCGGCAGAGCAACCAGGAGACGCTCAACTGCCCTCCTCATCATCCCATCTCCGTCAAGCTTCTACCGAACCAGCTTGCATCCTGCAGGGATCCTGCAAGATCCTGTGCGCAAGCCCGGGTCCATGCCTCCCTGGCTCTGCAGGACCGCGCAAGATCCGCCGCTCCGGCCGACCCCCCGTTTGCATTGACCCCGTCTCAAGGCTCTCGACTCAGCTCCTCTTCCTACAAGCCAGCAGAGGCAAGAGGGGGTTACAGAGAGGAGGATGAGGAAAGTTAGGGGGAGATCAGGTGGTCCTTCTGCTTCTGCTGCAGCTCGATCCCCTTCCTCGTCCCGCAACCTCAATTAAGCCCTCAGAAGCCCTCTCGAATTCCGCAAGACTTCCAGCACATGTCACCCCCTTCATCCTTCTCCTGTTCCTGCTCCTCCCCCTCCCCTTCCCCCTTCCTTCCTCCACGTCCTCATCCTACCAGCTTTGAATACACCGCGAATCCGACAACCTCTTCATTCTCATCCTCCTCCTCCTGTTCCTCCTGCTCTTCCCGCTCCCCACCCTTCCTCCTCCACCTCCTCCTCCTCCTCTTCCCCCTCCTCACCCTTTCTGCTCCTCCTCCTCCAGATCCTCCTCCTTCCTCCAAGCCTCATCTTCTTGCTCATCCGCCTCAGTCCCGTCCACCCCCCCTCCTCCTCCACCTCCACCACCACTGCCATCTTCATCCTGCCCCTCCCCTCGTCAATTTCCCATCCATATCCTCCTCCTCCTCCTCCTCCTCCTCCTCCTCCTCCTCCTCGACCCCCCTCCCACCCACCGAACAGCCAGCAGCGGAGCTCGCAATGCGGAGACGAGGATCTCAGTGAGGCGACGTCTCCATCAGATATTTCGGGTTCGAGGTTCTCTAGTCTTCATGAGACTAGAGGCACAGCAAAACTGCACCAACAAAAACTCTCGCCGGTCAGCGCGGATTTCTTGGATCCGCGCTGGGCCCCCCCTACCTGGCGCGCGGAGCGCGCCAGGGGCTGCGCCGGAGGCGCCGCCAGGGGGGGCAGCGTTGAGATCTTTTCATCACCACTAAGGCATCGGATTTGTAGAAATCCTGAATCGTTGTTTTTTTTTGGTTTTTTTTCGAACCGACTTTTTGTTTTTTTCGAAAAATTTACGTTTCACGCCGTAGCTGGCCCGATGCCTTTCCAAAGCGAACCTATCGCAAGCTAGGTTTGCGCCAATGTCAGGAAACGCAATCAGAGCCTCATTGGCTCCCGAATCCAATGGGGCACATCATATGCATGCGCCAAAGAGGTTTCTTGGGTAGCTGGGCCAATGGCCCGCAAGGTAAGAGACGCCAGCCTGCGCTCGACTGCTTGCTGCGCAGCGAACGTTTTGGCTGTGGGCCACCCTGCCCAAAAAAAGGGCATGCCATCGTAGACGCGGGCCTTGATCGCACGGGGGGGTCGGGGCGCGCGGTTCGGCCGCGCTTCCCCGAAGCTACACAAGAACCTTGCGTGTGGGATTTCATGTCGGCAAAGCGTTTGCAAGCATGAGTGGCCGATGAGGATCTGATTGCGTTTCCTGACATTGGTGCAAACCTTAGCTCGCGATAGGTTCGCGTTGGAAAGGCATCGGACCAGCTGGGTGAGCACGGGGGGTGGTCAGGGCGAAGAGGAGCAACAGGAACAAAACATATAATCGTTGGGAGAGGAGGGGAACGAGGGGGTGGGGTGAACGGGGGAGGTTATCCTCTACGCCCCGCCCTCGGACCCTCCCCGTCCTCAGCTTGCACCCCCGCCCCCGCCCCCTTGCGCGGGGGCAGAGAGGGGCTGGGGGCCCTGTTTCAGTGAGGCCGCGCCCCCACCCCCCAGAAGCCTCAAACGATATGCAGAGCGTGGGGCGCGCGCTAAGACGAACGGCCATTCTCTAGGTGATGGTGGCGGGGGCCCTGCCGCAACTCTAGAGCTAATCGGACCAGGCGAAAACGTCGAACCGAACGCCATGTGGCAATAGCGGGTTTCAGCTTCACGCGCCCTGGAGACCAGGGCTCACTTTTCGTCATTGGGGCTTCTGTATTGTTAGCTGTGTTTGTCCTGGGAGCCGCGCCGCGCGCCCATCCCCCCTGCCCCCCAAAGCCCCCCCCCCCCGAACGCGCTAGCAAAAGGGGGGGACGGATGGCAGAAAGTACTTCAAAAGGGGTGCCGAAGACGGGGGCGCGCTCCTTACCAACCGTGCCATGAGTGCCCTGATGTTTGGGACGCGCTCGACTTGTGCCCCGCCGCCGATTTCGAATATCTGACCCAAGCCCCTCTGGATCGCCCTCCCCCCTTTCAGTTTCCTCATCCTCCGTTTCCTCTTGGGTGCCTTTCTGTTGCCCGAACGCGCCGTCAACTGTCGATCCCTCGTCCTCTGTGTTCGTTTTCTCCCCCCCCCCCTCCTCTTGGTTTTTCCATTCCTCCGCCACATCGTTCAAGCTTTGATGGGGTTCCTTCGGCTCGGCGGTTTCGCCGATCTCGTCAACCAAAAGGCCCTCGCCTTCACGGCCCCCCGTCGCCCCCCACCCGAACCGCTATGTGGCCCCGTCGGCCTCGACATTATGCGTTGCCACGCCCGCGGGCCCCGCGAAACCAGCAGACCATCAAAACGAGGCGAACCCGCAGAGGTTTTTAATTTCGGGCATCCGTGGAGGCTTAGGCGCGGAGACGAGGCGCACCCCTATCTCCCCGACGAAGGGGGCGGGGCTGGGGGGAGGGGGGGGGGGGGGGTAGTGCGACAGGGGGGAAGAGAAGGAAGGAGGCGTGGAAAGACGGAGGGGGCGAAGCCAAAGGAGCAAGGGAAAGCGATGAGGAGAAGAACAAGGGAGAATAAAGCCAAATCCAGTGGTGATCGAATGCCCCCCCACGCCCGCGCCACGGACGCGACCTCCAGGCGAGTCCCGTGAGAGGAGGAGGAGTCGGGCCCCCCCGCGAGGGGTCGCGGGGCCAGAGAGCCTTGCAAGCCATTGCCCATCGAGGTGGTCGGGGGCGGGGCCTTTCAAACCACCCTGCCTGAGCAGTGCGCCTTTCGCCCCCCCCATCTCCCCCAAGCCTCTCTGCGCGACCCCTGTAGTAAGAGGTCTCTTGGTAACGGCGGCGGAGGCGCCCACGCCCCGCCAACATTGGCCCCGATAGGGCACGCGGCGAATGCAACAGCATGGCATAGCATGGCCCCGCATAGCATTGCACCGTTCAGCACGGCATACTATTGCCCAGTGTCGCGCAGTCAAGGGTCTCAGCCGCAGCTCCGCAGCATGGCATAGCAACGCATGGCAGAGCGCTCCATCCCTTCCTCCAGCACCACTCTCATTACCCTCATTCCCCTGCTGCTGCATGCACTGTCAGGGCGCAGACGGCGCCAGTGCTCCGAGCGACGGCTGTCACCGCGGGCCGCCTGCGGCCTACATCGACAAGTCGAGGGCCTTCTGCACGAAAACCTTGATCACATTGTGGACGCGGTCCCAGACGGCAACTGGGGAGACCTTCTTGGCCTGCTGCAGCTGCGTCCTCATCGTCCGCTGGAGCTCGTCCTCGTCACTCTGATGTTTTTTCAACAGGCCGATGATGGCCGCCTCACGCTGGGTGGTGTAGCATTTCAGGATGGCCTCGTCGTGGGCATCTTCTGTCGTGTTGCTGTCCGTAATGCCGTACTTGGCCTTCGTCGTTTTCGAGGCCTTCACGAGGTCGTAGTATGTTTTGCAATCCTACTAGCCCTGTGGACGTAGGCAGTCGAAGACATAGATCCTTTCACCGTCGGCAGCCCTCTGACATTTTTTTTGGGGGGTGACCTAGCCTCCACCCGCCCCTCCCCGAGGTTTTGCCTTTGGAGGGGTTGGGGAAGGGGGGGGGGTCGCGAGTCGCCAGCGCGCCGAAGGTGTCCCAAGATGGCCCCATGGGGCATCCAACGCTTGAAGTTTACACCCAAGATGGCCCAAGTTTGCCAACGACGGCCCAAGATGGCCCCCAGCGTGCCCCTGCGGGGCTACCAAGGCCGCTCCGTGCCAAACCAAGGTGGCGAGAACCACCTTAGCTCACCGCGGGGGCCAGCCAATATTGGCTCAAG